GAATTTCAAAAAGGAACGCCCGCCTGAATTACAGGTCCAGGGGAAGCCTCTTTCAATGGGAGGGCTTCGAGCACTGAAAGGGAATTCTTGCAGGGACTACTGAAAGGAGACTTGGGACGGGAGGGTGCATCACCGCATCGTCAATGCATCTTGTGTTTTCTCTGGTCCTACTCCTCCTCCTCCTCCTCCTCCTGCTCCTCCTCCTCCTCCTCCTCCTCCTCCTCCTCCTCCTCCTCCTCCTCCCTCCCCATCCCTCCTCCCTCCCCATCATCATTCATAGTCTTACACGCTTCTGGCTATTTTGGGAGCATCCGGATGCCTCAGACGGCCTCCGAAGCTGTGGAGAATCTGCGAAGCCCGCCAGAGACCACTGGAAGCCTCCTCGGCGGAGGAGGGAGATGGGGGATGGGGGAAGAGAAGGGAGGAGATGAGGGAGGAGGGAGAAGGAGGGAGCAGGAAGGAAGAAGGGAAGAAGGGAAGGGAGCGGAGTAGCAGGAGGAGGGGAGGAAGACGGGGAGCATGGGAGGAGGAGCAGCAAGGGCATGGTAAGGAGAGCATAGGAGAAGGAGATAGACGGGGAAGGAAAGATGGGAGAGAAGGACAAGCATGAGGAGGAGGAAGAGGGGGAGAGGGGGAGGGAGGAGGGGAAGAAGGATAAGGAGGAAGACAAAGAGGAGGAGGAGGAGGAGGGGGAATAAGGATGAATCCTCCGACCCCAACTCTCCCAGGGTTCTAAACCGTTTTGGGAGAGGGGCGGCGGGTTTGAGCGGATTTCGGTCGTCGTCGTCGTTCTCATCATCAGCATCATCAGCATCATCATCATCATCATCATCATCATCATCATCATCATCATCATCATCACCATCATCAGAAGCAGCAGCATCAGCATCAGCATCAGCATCAGCATCAGCAGCAGCATCATCATCATGGTCATCATCACCACCAATTTCACGATCATCATCATCATCAGCATCAGCATCAGCGTCAGCATCATCATCAGCAGCATCATCAGCATCTTTATCATCATCCTCATCGCCAACATCATTATCATCATCACATACACCACCACCATCATCATCATCGCCATCATCATACAGTTCTTCATCATCATCACCACCACAATCATCATCATCACCATCACCACAACCATAATCGTCATCATCATCATCAGCATAGTCATCATCATCACCACCACTATTATCATCATTATCAACATCATCATCATCCTCGTCATCCTTTCCACCACCACCATCATCATCACCACCACCACCATCATCATCATCAGCATCATCATCAGCCTCGTCACCCCCACCACCACCATCATCATCATCATCAGCATCATCATCAGCCTCGTCACCCCCACCACCACCATCATCATCATCATCATCATCACCACCACCATCATCACCACCGCCATCATCACGACAACCACCACCACCACCCTCAGCATCAGCATCGTCAGCATCTGCATCATCACCATCTGCATCATCATCATCATCATCATCATCATCATCATCATCATCATCATCATCATCATCATCATCATCTTTCTCATGAACATCATCATCAGCATCATCGGCATCATCAACATCACCACCACCACCCCGACCACCACCACCAATCATCATGATTATCAGCATCAGTATCATCATCTTCATCATCATCGTCATCATCATAAGCATGGTCATCATCAGCATATCATCATGGTCATCACCACCACCATCACAAATATCATCATGATCATCAGCATCATCATCACCACCACCATGATCAACATCATCATCAGCATCATCATAAGCATCACCACCACCACAACCATCATCATTATCATCAACATCATCATCATCATCATCATCATCATCGTCATCAGGATTGTCATCCCCACCACCACCACCAGCATCATCATGAACATCATCGTCAGCAGCAAGTTCATGATCATCACCATCATCACCGCCACCACCACCAGCACCATCATCATAAACATTCTAATCATCGTCAGCATCATCATCACCATCAGCATCATCATCATCACTATGAGCATCATCATCACAACCCCAACCACCACCACCACCATCATCATCATCATCATCATCATAAACATCAGCATCATGGTCAGCATCTTCCTCATCATCATCACCACCACCACCACCATCATCATCACCACATCCAACACCACCACCACAATCATCATGATCACAAGAACTTATAAACACGACATCACCATCATCATCAACACGACATCACCATCATCATCATCATCATCATCAGTATCTTCATCATCACCACCATCATCATCCCAATCTTAAAGAGCATCCTAATTATCATCTGCATCACCACCATCACCACCACCATCGTCATTATCAGTATCATCATGAACCATCAACGTCACCATCAATATAAACATCATCAGCCTAATCATCACCACCACCACAACCATAATCACCACCATCCTCAACATCACCATCAGCATCAACAGCATCAACATCACCAACAGCATCATCATTATCATCATCACCATCATCATCACCACAACCACAACCACAAGCATCATCATCATCACCACCATCACCAACACCATCGTCACCATCACCATCATCATAAACATCCTATGATCATCCGCATCGACATCATCACCACTACCACCATCATCATCATCATCATCATCATCATCATCATGATCAGCACCAACAGAATCATAACGGTCACCACCACCACCACCATCACCATCACCACCACCACCATCACCATCACCATCACCATCACCATCAACCATCCGCACCACCACCACCACCACCATCACTAACATCAACATCACAAGTATCTTCATCATGATCATCAGCATCCTCATGCTCATCATCATCACATCCACCATCATCATCATCACCACCACCATCATCATCGTCATCATCATGACCAGCATCAACATCATCAGCATCATCATCATTATCATCATCACCCCGCAGCAACATAATCACCACCACCAACACCACCACCATTATCATCAACATCATCATCATCATCATCATCATCTCTATCAACAGCATCATCATCAACATCATCACCATCATAAACATCATCACCACCACCACCACCATCACCAGCATCATCATCATCCTCATACGCATCATCATCCTCATCATCATCATTACCACCACCACCATCGGCATCATAAACACCACCACCGCCACAACCACAATCATCATCATCATCATCATCATCATCATCATCATCATCATCATCATCATCATCATCATCATCATCATAAGTATCATCATTATCAGCATCATCAACATCAGCATCAACATCATCACTATCCCGACAACAACCCTCCCCATCAACAACATCATCAGCATCCTCACCATCGTGAACATCGTCACCAGCATCAGAAGCATCAGCATCATCACCACGACAACCATCATCATAATCAGCATCATCATCAACATCATGCTTAGCATCATCATCATCATCATTAACACCATGATCAGCATCATCACCACCATCACCACCATCACCAACATCATCAACATCGTCATCATGAACATCATCATCATCATCAGCATCATCATGATCAGCACCATCATAATCATCATCATCATCCACAGCAACGTCATCATCACCACCACAACCACCACCAGCAACAGCATCATGCTAAGCAACATCACAAGCATCATCATCATCATCATCACCACCACCACAATCATCATCAACATCATCAATATAAACATCATCATCAGCATCAGCATCATCATAACAACCACCACCACCAACAACATCATCATCATTTTCATCACCGTCATCTTACAAGCATCACCATCAGAATCATAGTCAGCATCATCATCGTAATCATCAGCATCAGCATCAGCATCATCATCATCATCCCCACCACCACAGCCATCACCAACCTCATCCTCATCATCATCTTCATCAACATCACCACCATCACAAAGCATCATCAGCATAGACACCAGCATCAGCATCATCAACACTATAAAAATCAACATATTCATCAGCACCCCCACTACCATCATCACCACCACCACCGCCATTATCATCAGCATAAACATCATCATCATCATCATCATCATCATCATCATCATCATCATCATCATCATCATCATCGTCATGAGCACATCATGATCACCACCACCACCAACATCATCAGCATCATCAACATCAGAAGCTGCATCATCGTGATCAGCATCATCATTTTCTCATCAGCATTATCATCACTCCCCCTCATCATCGGCATCAGCATCACCACCACAGCCATCATGATCATACTCATCATCATCTTTAGGATCAGCATGAACACAACAACAACCACCACCAACATCATCAGCATCATCATCATCATCTTAATCATCATCGCAAACAGCATCACCATCATCAGTATCATCATCATAAGCATCATCATCAGCATCAGCACCAACACCACCATCATCATAATCATCATGACAATCAGCATCATCCTCAGCAGCAGCATCATCATCATCACCACCACCACCATCACCACCATCATCACCATCACCACTATCATCATAAACAGCATCTTCATGAGCATCATCATCACCACCACCACCATCATCATCGTCAGCATCATCATCAGCAGCAGCAACATCATCATCCTCATCATCATCACCACCACCACGACCACCACCATCATCATCTTCATCACCACCACCACCACCACCATCATCATCATCAGCATCAGCAGCAGCAACACCATCACCACCACCACAACCATCATCATCATCATCAGCAGCAGCAGCATCAGCAGCAGCAGGAGCAGCAGCAGCAGCAGCATCATCATCATCATCATCATCATCATCATCATCATCATCATCATCATCATCATCATCATCATCATCATCATCATCATCATCATCATTACCACGAGTCCTACCCCTACCCCTCCTCTCTCCTCCCCCTCACTGTTGCTACCCCTCCCCGTCCCCTCTCGCCCGACGCGAGGCCCCCGCCGCCGCGGGCGGAGGGCGAACCTGCTCTGCCACCAGCTCGTAGGTCGGCTCCTGGCGCGGCAGCCCAAACAATCACGACGACGACGACGACGACGACAATGAGAATCCACCAGCCCCCATCGGGCATAGGGGCCAAGAGGCTGCGAGGACTGGCTTTTCTTTTTGTGCCTGCGCCAGTCCCATCTCCCAGGTTCCAGTTATGGATTTCCTACGTTCTCGTTCTACGGTTGTCCTCGTTGATCTCCAGGCGAGGGGGGAGGGAGCCCGAAATGAACCTGCTGACCACGCCGGAACCACGAACTCTGACTTCCTCGGGGGGGACTTGGGACACGTAAAGATACGTCAGACTCGCGTTCCCGTTGCCACCATCCCTTTTAAATTACAATATGCTTTCGCCCCCGGAACCAGAATCCATTTTGAATTACTGCGCGTTCGCGCTCCCGAAACACGAATCCTTTGCAAAGTACGACGGGTTCGCGCTCCCGAGGCCACAATCCTTTGCAAATTGCATCGCGCTCGCACTCCCGAGGCCACACCCCCTCCCACGAACCCACCCCACGGAGGCTGCCCAAAAGTGGCGCCCCCTCCATCGGGATACGGGTGCGGAGAACGTTTTTCAGCCCCCCCGTCGTTTCCTGGTGATTCGACTCTGGGCCCTGCGACACGTCGAACACAACAGGCTCGAGCCTTCCAGGCCCATCCCTGCCAGAGCACTACAAGTTCGCGCCCCCGAAGACATCATCCATAGCAACTTGCAGTCGACTCGTGCTTCAAAGACCACAGACCCCAGAGAAAGACTGCGCGCTCGCGCGCCCGATGCCACAGTCCTTCCTTCAGCACAGCGAAGGGGAGTCGCGCTCCCCGGGCCACACCCCCTCGCAAACCACAACGCGTCCGCCTTCCCGAAACCGCAACCCCTCGTCGATTTCGACGGGCCCGCGCTTCTGGGAAGCGCTAGTCGTAGCAAATTACTGTCAGGTCGGGCCTGTCCCCCTACAGGGGGATTGTCGACGAGAAATAAAAAATATCCAAAAAAAATCCTAAATGGTCAAAAAAACTCAAAAGTAGTCCCCAGACTATTTCTTGATCATGTTGGGGGTATTTTCTATTTTCGTCGAAAATCCCCCTGTAGGGGGACAGGCCCGACTTAACATTACTATGGAGTCTCCCGCCACCGAGGCCACAATCCCCTGCAACTGACCGCGGTCCGCCCCGCTTGCCCGAGGCCACGAACCCACCCCACGAGGGCCACCCCTCCCCAAAACTGGAAATTGATATGTTCTGTATTGGGGCAGGGGTTCGTGAGTGTGGTTTAACCGATCCCCATCCCCAGCGGCGTGGCTGGGCCCCACTGATCGATTTACCCCCCTACATGGGGATGTAGGTCGTTCCCTTGGGGGTTCGAGGGGTGTCTCCCCAACTGGGGGGGTAATTTGGTGGGGGTTTCAAAGGGGATGGGGATGGGGATGGGGATTGGCCAAACGATACTGAGTTCGGGGAGCGTTTTTCGCCCACCCACCCCCGTCATCGTCTCCGGAGAACTCGCCTGGCGACCCGAGGCAACCAATCCTCTACTAGGGGTGATCGCTCCCCAAGCCGCGAGCTCTTGTTAAGTCACGATGGAAGCACGCTCCCGAGGCCACCATCCCTAAGCGAGCACTGCAGACGCGCCAGGACAGCTAGCCAGCAAGCAGCCCTGACCAACTGCCAATCGGGGGCGGCCAAGAGGGGGACCTCCAAGAGGGGGGGTGCAAATCATGACCGGCGGCATGTGCGCGGCCCAGCGGGGGGGACCAGGGGCGTCATGAAGCAAGCAGAGGCGCCATGAAATCTGGGGAAACATCATGGCCCCCGCCATGATATCCACCCCCCCCTAGTCATCACCCCCCTGTGGCGCCCCCGACAACCATCGGGCGTTGGCAGAACTGGGTTTAGTGGAACCTGGTTTAGTGATTTGTACCGGGGGCGCCCCCCCGCCCCATGTCCACTGACCAGAACTGCCGTCACCAGGAAAACGCCAGTTACGGCAAACCTGGTTTAGTGAACCTCGCCAATTGAGGGGCCCCAGGGCCCTACCACTAACCGGGTCCCCTTACCCGGGGTCCTGGCTATACCCGAAACCATGAGGTCAGACAATTGGGACGCCCGAAATGGATACGGAAAGAATGGGTACAATGCCCAACAACAAATGTTGTCCCAAACCAACAGCGGCCGCTGTTGGGCAGGTGGCCTTCTGTCTCGAATGGGCATAGGCAGCGGCGGCGTGGACAGCGAATCCTGTTCAAAATGAACAGGAACTGCTGTTGGGCATCGTACCCATTCTTTCCGTACCCATTTCGGGCGTCCAGAGACAACGAGCCCGTCAGCCGGGTTGCCAGCCAGCCGGCCGACAGGACAACCAACCAGCCGACCTGCCTACCGGTCAGGCACGGCCGCGCGGGCAGCTTGAGGGAGGGCGGCGGCAGAGGGCGGAGCCCTTCAGATAACAGTGGCGGGGGCAACGACGGCGAGAGGACGGATGGGAGGAGGAGGAGGAGGAGGAGGAGGAGGAGGAGGAGGAGGAGGAGGAGGAGGAGGAGGGAGGAGGAGGAGGAGGGAGGAGGAGGAGGAGGGAGGGAGGAGGAGGAGGAGGAGGAGGAGGAGGAGGAGGGAGGAGGAGGAGGAGGAGGAGGAGGAGGAGGAGGAGGAGGAGGAGGAGGAGGAGGAGGAGGAGGAGGAGGGGGAGGGGGAGGGGGGAGAACGAGGTCGAGACATGGAGACGACGACGACAACGACGACGACGACGCCAGCGGCGACGGTCGAGAACGACGGTCGAGAATGACGACGACACGACGAGGACAACGAGTGGACGGAAACGGAGGAGGACTTGTTTTGTCGGCAGATGTTGCCAAGATACCCTGGTACAGCTGGCGAAGCTGGTGCCAGGAAAAACTGGTCTGACTGCAGAGCGGCCCAGGCAGACAGACCAGATGGAACTGGCCGCAATGGCGGCGTCGACGGCCAGCGAAGGCTCCACCTTGCGTCCGCACTGCACAAGGCCAGAAACAAGGCATGACTCATGACAGAAGCAGCGCGACGTCTGCGTCGCCAAGGCCCCAGGGCTGCGCCCCTGCTAGTTTGTGCAATGGCTGGAACGGAGCGCGGCCCCATGAGCCGCTGAGTGAGTGCTGCCAGGGCCCAGGAGAGGGAGGGCTGACAGACCCGACGGGTTCATCTGAGCCACAACCCAGGTCTTCTGGCAACGCGCCAGGTTCCAAGGCTCCCGTGGCTGCCTCAGCAGCCACACGACGAAGTATCTAGCATCTGACTAGCGTCCTCTGGCGTGGCATCTTCGAGAGATGCCTCAGGAGCGAGGAAGTCAGAGGCAACATGAGGGAGGTCCACCCTCAGTTCAGGGCGCCCCGGGTGTTCATCTCTCATAACCTTTTTGAATTGGTCTGGCCGTGCCTGCTGAGCTCCTGGCCGCAGAGTCCAGCCAGACCCCCGTTGGAGAAAGACCCCTGGTGCAGGCAAGCATCACAGAGAATGCAATGGATAAATCAGCGTTGTTCTAGCACTGGGGTACGATGGAGCTGTGGCCATTGCCATCAGCCACATCTAATTCAGGCCGTCCAGACAGGGGCAGATACAAGAAGGCGGCCTGGAGACGGCCGTGGACCCCACCCGACAAACCAAACACCGCCAAAGATTCCTGTGCCAGTGCCAGTCGTGGCCTGCACCTGCGAAATGAGCGGCTGCAACAAGTTTTGCTTCGCGGGCTGGTTCGACTCCGTCGAGGTTCAGGCGAGGTCAACGTGGACGAAGGTTCACAGCGCGGCGTGCGACGGCAAGCGCAGCTTCAATATCGGCATCAACGGCACCGCGCTCTCCTGCGAGGCGCGAGGGTGTCAAAGAGCACCATGCTGTGCAGCAGTGTCAGCAAGCCCTTGTCCCCTCCGCCTGAAAACCTCCGACGCCTCCAACCTCTCCTGATCAAAATTCAGATGCGCACGCACCTCACTTCAAGACGAAAGGCCTCTGCAGGCATCACTACATTGAACAGGGGCCGCGATAGAAGCAGGAGTCCTGATCATCCTTAATCATCAGCACCATTACCATCGTCAGCACCATCAGCAGCAGCAGCATCAGCATCATCACCAGCATCATGACCACAAATAACACAACCACATCATCGTCATAATAATCATCATCAGCAGCATCAGCATCATCATCAGCACGAATATCATCATCATCATCATCATCATCATCATCATCATCATCATCATCATCATCATGATCCGAATCATGATCATCATCATCATCATCATCATCATCATCATCATCAGCATCATCATCATCATCATCATCATCATCATCATCATCATCATCATCATCATCATACTCATCATCATCATCAGCAGCATCAGCATCATCATCATCATCATCATCATCATCCTCATCATCATCATCATCATCATCATCATCATCATGATCCGAATCATCATCATCATCATCATCAGCAGCATCAGCATCATCATCATCAGCAACGTCGCCGTGGTAGCAATCATACTACAATAGCCAGCAAACATCCTAATCAAAATCAGCGTTATCCTTACCGGCGTCATCGTCACCACCGCCATCAACCTCAACATCGTCGTCAGCATCAGCGGCAGCATCATCAGCACCATCATCAGGATCAGCGTCATCCTCGTCCTCCTCATCATCAGCATCATCATCAGCAGCATCATCATCAGCATCAGCATCAGCATCAGCATCATCATCAGCAGCAGCATCGTCATCATCGTCATCGTCGTCGTCGACATCATCACCGTGATCATCGTCATCGCAATCAGCTTAACATCACTACCACCGTCAACATCACGTTGACCATCACAAACATAATAATCACCATCGTCATCGATACGAACATCTTCCGACCCCTTCCCATCCCCCTCCCCCCCCCGACAACACCCATCCCACCCGCCCACCTCACTCACTCCCTTCCTCGCCATCCGGTCCCTCCACCCCGCCCCATCCTCCTCCCCATCCTCGCCCATCCGAGGGCAACAGATGGACATGCCAGAAAAAGCTGGGGTGCCCGCGCCAAGGCCTGGCATCCCTTGGCCGCTCGAGCGCAGCACCACTGCATCTTGTCGTCCGACCATACCCTCTGCCAGTCGTCGTACGCCTCGTCGCAGTCGTAGAGCGGGGATGTCTGCGGCGTCGAACGGGGAGGAAGAGAACGACGAAGAAGACCACGACTGCAACCACGACCGCAACGAAAACGGCGTCGACGATGACGAAGCGGTGGAGAAGATGGGGAGACGAGGAAGAGGGAGGGTCGAGAAGGGGAAGGAGGACGAGGAGGATGACGAGGCGAACGAGCACGAGGACTAGGATGCGAGGGAGGAGGAGGAGGAGGAGGATTCAGGCTAGGATGCAATCGGGGCAACAGTGTTGCAAGGAGGAGGAGAAGGAGGAGGAGGAAGAGAAGGAGGAGGAGGACGAAGACGACGGGGGATCTCACTGGGACCCTCATAATGAAACCGTGCCCCACGGGGCTGTGACCGCCAAGCCGCGAGCGCCGCCACCCCGAAGAGCCTCTGGACCAACGCCGCTGGGGTCAGCGGGCCAGAGCCATCCAGGGATGCGCCTGTCTGCACGCGTGGGCCTCTCGGCCCCCCCAGTCGCCAGGAGGCCTGGGCGGGCCAGGCAGGCTCGGCCGGCGCTGTGGGTGCGGGAGGGGAGGAGAGGGAGTAGGAGGAGGAGGAGGAGAAGGAA